AAACACCTGGTCTTTTCACGTTATAAGTGATCCGGGAGTTTTGACTCGCCAATGTTGAGTTGTTACCAACTTGGGTACAGGGTGCCCAGAAACTGGTAAAATCAGCCTTTTGTTGTAGGATCTTTATAGGAGCCAGAGCCTGTCACCCAGGTATGGCAGAGCCCCTCCATGGGCTGTCCTTCCTCCCATCGGTATGAAGTAGAACAGGGAAACAAGCCTCATCTTTGGTATTTCGGGCATCAGCTGGGCTGTCGGGGTCTTTTCTCCCTAGTTGCCCTCAAGGGAGCATTGGAGACCTTGAACTGGAAATTCTCTTCCCCAGAATCAACCAGATATTCCCAAAATTTCGTGGAAGCTTAACTCCCAGTATCTTGGGTCAGGTTCCCTAGAAGTCAAGGGTTTCTCTGGAGATGATGTATGGAGTGGGGTTAGAGGGTTGGGAGAGGGGCAAGACAGGGGGAAATCTGAGCTTCAGGCTTGCTGGGGAGCTTGGAAGCATGACTTGCATGATAGAACTGGATTCCCCCCGTTGGTCAAGGACAGCCTTCTGTACCCCTCTCCTGGTCAGCCCTTGATTGGTTGTGGGCAATCCACAGGCAGAGTGGCTCCCATTGGCTGAAAGCAATTTTACAAACAAGGGGGTGGGGGGGGATGCATTAGCAGCTGAAACCCATGGGACCAGTGACTGGGAAAGGGGGCAAGTCAGGGTACCCTGGCACTGCCCAAAACAGCAAAGAGAAAGGGCCAGGTATTGGTTTTTTTCTAACTCTTCCCCTTTAATACAGTTCACCAGTCCTGCAAGGGACTCTCCTCAAAGTGACCCTCTTGCCCTCCAAATTCAGTGTCCTTGGCCCCCTCCCTTGAAAAACCACATTCTTAGACCCAGGGCAAGGGAGGGTCTGTGTCCATGCTGCTACGTCTGTGGCTTGAGCAGGCCCCACTGGGTGAGGCAGGAGGAGTGGGGGGCCCTGGGGCTTGGCAAGAGGGGGGAAGGGAGATGAGGGATGCTTTAATCCTGGTCTGTCTTTCAACCACTTTCTTCAACAGTCACTTGAAGGCAAATTGGCCTCGGCAGTAAGTATTAATTTTCTGCATGCCTAAAATCCAGCAACCAACCTAGTTTCATAAAAATGTTTTCTTCCTATTAACAGGACTTTGACTCTACTTTTTGCACAATAACAACCAGGCATTCTCTACTAAGGACCATTTGCTTCCTCCTTGAGCCGGCATTTGTTACCATTTTAGCTATAAAAGGCCCTGAGCCACCTAGGAGATTTTTTCTGAACCAAAATTTCTTTCCAGAGCAAGGTTTAGGGAGGGTGGTGTGGGCTGGTGAGAGAGGTTTCAGTTGTACCTTTTTCATCTTCATTCTGACCCAGAGTGATTGAGGTGTTAACTTAATGCATGTTGTCACCGGCTTTTGAAGTGGCCCTGCTTGGTGACTGAGCGGCTGTTGCAAAATTGTGAATTTTGGAACTGGGTATTGCTTTCTTGCTATCCTAATGTGTCCCTCTAGGAATGTAATGAGATCTGCTTTTTCTGTGCCCAAAACAGATTTGCTCTACAAGCTATTGTCACTCAGGGCAAACACCAAGCTCTGTATCTAAAAAACAAAGCCACCTGCCAGCCACAACCAGGTGCATGTTGCATTTGGATATCGTGTAGACATATCTTTATTATCTAAGAACAGAACCCCAACCTGATCTTCTAGAAAACTGTCCCTAGAGAAATAATTAAATATCAGTAACCAAAGTCATTTTAGACATCTGAGATGGTCCTCATGTCTGTGTTTAGAGACTCCTGGTGTGTCAGAATTGAGCTCGGCTCATATAATGTATTAATAATTGCATGGCTTGTATTATGTACCAGGTCCTGGGCTTGGTACTAGGGCAGAGTAGGGGGGAGACGAGAAGGCAGAGAGGACCCTTGTGCTCTTTTATTGTCCTGTAAGGGAGATGGACATGGACAAACAACCCTGTCCATAATTAACTGCAGTTGGGATAGCCATTATAAAAGAGACTGGAGAGTGTAAGAGGGGAATGTCTTCGTTGGTCTTGGCTGGAAGAGTTATGGAGTGTTGTAGGAATTGTCCAGTATGACTACTCACTGACGAGGAGAACACAGGAGAAAGCAGGTTTGTTTCAGACATGGTGAGGTTCAGGGTCAGTAAACGAGCTGGAGAAGTCTGCCAGCTGTGAGCGACTCTGGAGAAGCAGCCTCAGAGCCAGATTTGAGAACCCCTCAAAGAGGTGATGGTGAAGCCACAGGAATGAGCAAGGGGCTTTCTTGCAAGAATGTGAGGATGACAAAGAGAGTGGCATCTGGGGGAATTTCTGGACCAAACTTTGCACAGGGCCTGTCACCTACAGGCAGTAAAGACCGTCATAATTATAAGAAGACCACTGTTTGTATATTGCTCCCCAAATTGGTGCAGTTGCCCCAGTCCCTGCAACAGCCCCAGTATGGCTCAGGAGCTACCCTGGCTCCTCCTTTAGTCTCTGCGAGAACTCTCTTCCCAAGTGTCATCTGGCACTGCCCCACTGCCATGGCCTATGCCAGTCTCCTCCCTCTCTGCACACATTGCATGCCCCTATATTCTCCGTTCTGGGCAGAAAGTGTGGGCTTCAACCCTCAGCATCACATCACCAGGGAGCTTGTTGGAAACGTGGAATTCGCAGCCCCCACCCAACCTGCTGTATCAGGCTCTGTGTTTTAACAAGATCTCTGGGATCCATCTGCCTGTGCAAGGGTGAGAAGCGCTGGTCCACGTTCCCACCTGGCTGGGAGTCCAGTGCACTCAGGCAGCCACCCCAGACTCTGGTGACAGCAGGTGTTACACCCGTGGGAGGTCAGGCCCAGGTCAGTGCCTGTGTGGACCGCTGGACCCTGAGGGCTACTCTACCTCTCTGGGTACCTCAGTCTAGAGATTTTCCCCTTCTGGTCTGGTTCCTCCTCCACACCTATGTTTAGGGACCTAGAGAAGGAATCAGAAAATAAAACATAACAAAAGCCACCAAGAGGAAGGAAGACGTTCAGGTACCAAAGCTATAAAGAGGCTCCAGAGGACGAGAATAAAACAACAGTAGGACTCAGAATTTTTTTAAAAATCAGCTTTATTGCGATATAATTTACGTAGAATAGAACTCACTTATTTTAAGTGTACAACTTGAGTTTTAACAAATGTGTATACTGTAGTCATGTAACCAGCCCCGCCACCAAGATGTAGAACATTTCATCACTCCAAGAAATTCCCTTATGACTTTTTGCCATCAATTTCCTCTCTCTACCTTCCACCCCTGCTCTAAGCTTGTCTGCTTTTGTCACTAAAGTTTTGCCTTTCCTACAATTTCCTATAAATGGAATCATATAGATGTAGTCTTGTGTCTGCCTTCTTTTTGCTCAGCATAATGTTTTTGAAATTCATTCCTATTGTTGCACATATCAATGGTTTGTTCCTTTTTATTGCTTAGTCATAATTCCCTGAATGGATATACCACAGCCTGTTTATTCATGTACCACTTGATGGACATTTGGGTTATTTCCAGTGTTTGATGATTATGAATAAAGTTGCTGTGAACATTCACATAAAAGTCTTTGTGTGGACATGTTTTCCATTTGAGAGATTTTTTTTCCTTTTAAACTTAAAAAAAAAAAAATAACTTTAGGCTGGGCATGGTGGCTCACCTGCAATCCCAGTACTCTGGGAGGCTGAGGCAGGAAAATTGCTTGAGGCCAGGAGTTTAAGACCAGCATGGACAACATAGCAAGACGCCATCTCTACAAACAATAAAAAAAACTAGCCAGGCATGGTGGTGTGTGCTAGTAGTCCTGGTTACTTGGGAAGCTGAGACAGGATGACTGCTTGAGGCTAGGAGTTCGAGGTTGCAGTTAGTTGTGATCACACCACTGAACTCCAGCCTGGGTGACAGAGTGAGACCTTGTCTCTAAAAAATAAAAAAATAGGCGTGGTGGCTCACACCTGTTATCCTAGCATTCTTGGAAGCTGAAGTGGGAGGATTGCTTCAGGTCAGTTGAGACCAGCCTGAGCAAGAGAGAGACCCTGTCTCCACCAAAAATAGAAAAAATTAGCCAGGCATGGTGGAGCCCTATAGTCCCAACTACTCAGCAGGCTGAGGCAGGAGATCACTTGAGCCTGGGAGTTTGAGTTGCAGTGAGCTACGATGCCGCCACTGCACTGTAGCTGGGGCGACATAGTGAGACTCTCTCTGTCTCAAAAAAACCCAAACAAACAACTTTAGATTTACAGATAATACAGAGAGCTCCCATATACTCTTTATCTAACTTCCCCCAAATATTAATATCATACTAATTATGATACATTTATTAAAACTCAAAAGTTAACATTGCTACAATACTATTAACTAAACTCCAGACTTTATTCAGTTTTCACCAATTTTTCCACTAATGTTTTTTTTCTGTTCCAGGGTCCAATCAGGATATAATGTTGCATTTAATTATATTTCCACATATGCCTCCATACTGTAGCAGTTTTTCTGTTTTCCTGTGTTTTTCATGACTTTGAAGTTTTTCATGACTTTTTCACACTTTTGAAGTGTGCTGGTCAACTATTTTGTAGAATGTTCCTCAATTTGGGTTTGTCTGATGTTTTCTGATCATTAGACTGGAGTTTTAGTTTGGGGGAAGAATACCTCATAGGTGAAATGCCCTTCTCATCACATCATATCAAGGGTATGTGATATCAACCTGATTTATCACTGGTGAAGTTAACCTTGATCACTTGGTTAAGGTGCTGTCTGCCAGAGTTATACACTGTAAAGTTACTAATTTTCCTTTGTATACTGTATTCATTAGAAGTCAGTCACTAAATCCAGCCCACATTTAAGGAGAGGGAGATTAATCTCTACCTCCTAGAGAGAGGAGTATCAAAGAATTTGTGAACATATGCTAAAACCATTATTATAATCAATAAATATATATTTTTATAATTTAAAAATTATTTCTTTATTCATTCTTTTTTGTAGAGATAGGGTCTCTCTTTGTTGCCCAGGCTGGTCTCAAACTCCTGGCCTCCCAAAGAAAAAATAGCCTCTTTTAAATCAGCCTGCCTGTGAGTCAGGTGAAAGGAGGTGGTGCGAAATAGCACTCATGCTAGGAAGGGTGGACGATGGATGGAGCGAAGTTCCTGGGAAGGTCAGCGAGAGCAAGATCCAGGAGGGGTCCTTGGCAAAAAATGAGGGACACTCTGTTCTCAAAAACAGGCAGGAGGAAAGCTTAGGAGGGTCAATTTCAACATCAAGAGGGAGAACTTGAAAGAATTCCCATTAATTAGCTTTTGTCTTCTCAGTCAAGAAGTGTTCTGTGACGACAATGGGAAATTGACTTTTGGAATTTTAATTTTTCTTGGCCAAAATTCCTGGCCTCTAGAGCAGCATTTCTCAACCTAAGCACTATCAACATTTGGACCAGATAATTAATTGTGTGGCCTTTCTTGTGAAATGTAGGAGTTTAGCAGCATCCCTGGCCTCTACCCTGTAGATACAGTGGCATCTTCTCCCATTCCCCTAGCGTGACCACCAAAATGTCTCCAGGTATTGTCACATGCCCTCTGGGGAGCAGGATCACCCCATGCTGAGAACCAGTGATCTAAAATAACATACTCGATTCTGGCAATCCACACGATTCTTGACTTTTGAAAAGACTGAGATGATGCCATTGGCCTATTAATTGTCTTCAGAAAGAACTAAAGCTGCTGGAGTGTGAACACCGAGCATTTAGGGTTGGGTGAGGGAGAGGGCCCTGCTGTCTGGGGTTGATCCTTTTAGCAGTCAGGCCCTGTGAATCAAGAGGAAATGGAGTTCTGGTTCTCAGAGGGTCTTTGGTTCTGAGAAGCCTTGCTGTGGTTCTAGCCTTCCTCATGGTGGAGGACTGTTTTGCTTTCTCTGTGGTTTCTGCGTGGGCCGTGAGAAGCAACTTAGTTGTTATGACAGTTGGAGGCACAGAAGTCTTCTCACAGGTTAGTTTCTGAAAGCCCATTTGTTCTAAATCCAACCTGACGTCTACTGAGCTGGGTATGCATTGGTTGCTGGTAAGGTAGTTTCATAAGCCAGCCAGGGATGGTGGGGACCCTCACTCCTTTACAGCTCTTCATTTTAGTCTCCAAAGACGCATTTTGGCCTAATGTACTTTTGCCTTCAAGACACTGCCATCTCCAACATAGTGAAGGTGACAGCGATTAAGGAACAAGACCAAGGTTGGGTTGAAATGACCTTGCACAGCCGCTGATGCCATCTGTTGGCGGCTGGCAGAACTGATGCCCTTTGCTGGGATGAAGCTTTGTTTATTGCACACAAAGTTGAGAATTGGCAGCAGAGAGAACTTTCTTTCCACCTGGGAGCATAGGATTGGCAGGATTAGAGAGGAGCAGAAGGGGAGGGCATGTTTGCTTTGTAGATTCTGCATCAGGAATCAGATGGTGCCAGGAATCCATAGTAGAAATAATTCTAGGAGGCCTTTTCAAGGGACTGGTTGGGATGTCATTGGGGCCTAAAATCCATTTATGAGTCAATTGTCAGTTAAAGAATTGGGCTTTAGGGGATGACAGAGCAGCAGAGAGGTCTCCAAATTGAAAAAGCTGTGTCTTCCATAGAGTTAGCACATAGTCATTATTGGTGGAATGTGATTATTGAGGGACACTATTAACTCTTCCCTCTAATCAAAGAAACTAAGACAAGATCATGCAAAATAACAATTATATTCTATCTTCTTTCCAGGTGCTTTCAAATACTGTACAGTTGTTTCTATACAGTCTACTTAGGTCAGTGTATCCCTTCTATTCTTATGATAAAACAGATACCTGCAGATTGTTTCTTAGGTCCATATATCTAGTTGTTCATGAGAGCTGAATTGAGCCCATCCAGTGGGTTCACAACCCTGGTTGCACATAACAATCACCTGGGAAACTTAAAAAATCCCAGTGGCTGGCCTCACTATACTGATTTAGTTGGGCTGGGCCAAGGCTATGTCATAGGTTTCCTTTTCGGAATTCATGTGATTCTAACATGGTGCCTAGGTTCGAGGGCTGCGACTCAAGGTGTGGTCCATGCATCTGGGAGCTTGTTAGGAATGCAGAATCTCAGATCCCATCCCAGACCTTCTGAATCAGAATCTGCATTGTAACAAGATTCTCATGCATGGCGGTGTTTGGAAACAGGTGAGCGTTGCCTCAGACACGGAGCGTACAGAGCTGCCCATTGGTGTCTCTGTTGAGGACGTCTGTTTTTGTTTAATTTCGCCATTCAGACAGCAGTTGAGGCCTGGTTCATGTTCAGATGGACTCCATTGAGGGCCCTGGGCTTCCCTCTGTCCTGTGGGTCCCCTGTGCCTCCCAGATCAAAGCCCCAAGAGAACCCAGGAGCTCCCCTGCCACCCCAAAAGCCTTGCTCACTGCTAGCAGAGCGTTTTACAGCCCCCAATTTCTGGGTGTGTCATAGTGTAGTCACCAAACCAGGACTGTGGGCTGCCTCCACGTTCTTCCTGTGGAGAGCAAAGCACGTCATTGCCAGCCTAATCTATGACGAAAGGCTCAACTTGTTTTGTTGGTCTCCTAAAAGACTCTTGCGTTACCTCTAGCTCTGAAACTGCTCGAATCAGAAAATTGCGAGGCAGTGCCTGTTTTTCCTTTTTCTTTTCTAAATAGAAGGTACTCAGTAAATGTTTGTTTTTGAAATTTAAGACAGTGTGGGCACCTGGGAGGCATTTGGTGTTATCAAGAGGCACTATCCTTGTTGACCTTGAGTTTCAGGTGAGGGGCCTCTTAGTTGGGCAGCACTGTTACCTTGTGAGGTGCATCCGTTGTTTCTGAAAGAGATCTTTTTTAGTCCATTTTTTAAAATCCAATGCTCTGCGAGAGCCAGTCTGATCTTTTCTAAATCTGTGCTTTCATTTTGGGTAGCGCCTAAAAGAGACACAGTAGTCCCTGCTCAACCTCTTTTCGGGAAACTGAGAGCCTTGGGTGCTTTTCTTCCCCTTCTCTGCTGTTTTCAACAACAAACTCCCTTTGATGAAGGACTGTTCTGAGCCAGGCAGAGCTATTTCCCCTTTCATTTCTCCTCTTTTTCAAACTCCCTCTGCCACCTCCTGTACCTCTTCCAACTTTCCTCCCCAAAAGAAAACAACAACAAACCAAACTTTGAGAAACAAGGGAGGCTTGTCCCTATTGGTGAAACCCCTTGAAAGGATGTCACTGAGAAAGGATCTCTGTGGCACTCTTTTTCTGGAAGCATTGGGAGGTCTCTGTGGATCCAACCTGGAGAGATTGGGGTGCTAATTATATGCACAGAAGCCATTCATTAGTCACCACCAGCAAGAAGATCTCGACAGGACTTGTCATTCCTCTGAATTTAGAGGTTCTGAAAGGACCCCAAACTGGGTCTTTGGCTTTCTTCAATTTTGTTTTTGAGTGTGCGTGGTTTTTTATTTTGTTTTTTGTTTTTTTAATATTTCTTCCTCCTCTGGCCTCTCTGTTCTCCTCTTCCCTCCCCAGTGTTGTCCTCTGTTGCCCACAGCAACCCCAGCAGTTGGTACCGTGCAGAGTGGAGAGAGCAGGCCAGGTTACCTCGGTGTCAGGCAACCGTTACTGAGCAATTCAGCAGAGCCACACAAAGAAGCAGATTTCTCTTAAAATCTCCTGGTTTAAACCACCCTCAACATTTAGCCAGCAACTCCCCCACCTCCCCTGTCCTAAGAGACCTGTTTCCTCTGGTCCTGGAGCAACCGGGTACTTAGACACTGCCCGGCCCCACCTTCTGGAGGCATTTGTTTACCAACAGTGCCTTGTAAACTCTTGACCACATTTCCTTTATGTGCACACTTTCCCTCCACACACACATGTTTAGTTGTCCCCTTGCACAGTGGAAGGTGATACCGAATGCCACACACTCTGAGCACTTAGATAGACAAGGGGAAGAATTAAGTGATTAGCTCATGGCTCCCCTGTGGAGTAGGCAGTCAGGCTGTAAGGTTTCTCTCCTTTGCTCTTCACCACAAGACAGCGCTTTGTCAAAACTAAGTGACAAAGTTGTCATGGAAATAAATTGTTGGCTAGATTGAGCCATCTTTAATTTGGGGATGGGAGTCTTCCATTAATATGTCTAATTCTTAGTTTACAAATGAGCACATGACGATTGATTCCAGACACTCACTCTTGTGATTTCTTTTGAAGCCCAAGTAATAAGACTTTCTTTCTCTTTGAATACCACAACACTTCTCAGAACCAAGGACCAGCGGGCAGAACACTGAAAGAGACCAAATCAAAGATTACGATTTTTTTTTTTTGAAGGGAAGGAAAAGATAAATTTGGAAACATAAAATAATGCTCATCATTATACCCTGCCTTCTGATTTCCAAATGTACAGTTCCTTTAGATTCCAAGGACTGGCATGTTCTTTGAGCTATTCGTCAACGACACGTGAAATGTGCTCCAAGTAAAGGCATTCTCTTCTGCAATGTTCATTTCTATTTCAATGGCTTGCCTCAGTACTTTTCTTTAATTAATACTGTTTATGCTCACTGATGAATAATTCAGAGTCATACAAGCAACAGATGTCAGAGGACTCAAAATGACTTTCCCTGAATTATTTATTATTTCCAAAAAAGTAACAGGTTTGTTGAACAAGTAATTGGCAACACAGATGTAGATCAAGGTTTGTCAGCAGGCAGCAAGTTCCACTACTGCCTCCCCTTTTGTGCATGTTAATAACCAGGACTGCATTGCATAAGGAGAGTTTGCCTGATACCACTGCTTAGGGAGTCATTTATTTTATTCATCTTGTTGCTGCTGGAGAGCTGGAACCTTGTTTGGTTTCCAGGGTGTCAGTGGATGATGAAACATGAATGGGAACTCATCCAAAAATACAGTTAATGAATATAACCTTGCAAATAACTTTCAGACATATGACTTAATACAGGTACCTAGAAAGAGGGACCATCTTTGTTTGCAAGGATATGTTAAGCTTAGAGACCTAGAAGAATAACAATTTAACAAATATGTAAAGGTTTATGTATAAGAGTGGTCACTGCAGTGTTATTTATCACAGAATTTTAAAAAGGAAAAAAACTCAAATGTCCAACAATGAAAGATTTGCTAAATAAATTCTGGTATATCCAAGCAATGGAATATTACATAGCCATTAGAATGACATATGTCTTTTCAATTTGGAAAAAATCAACTTATTAAGTAAAAGATGATAAGTGAGAGAGTCTATAAACCAATATGGTTTCATTTCTGTAGGAAAATATGTGTATGTGATTATTTGCAGGCATAGTGAAAAGTCTGGGAGGAACTACCCCAAAATATTAATAGTGGTTATTTAGGGGCAACAAAACCCAATGTGACTTTAATTCTGCTTCACGTATCTTCTCATTGTTTCCACTATAAATATGCATGTATTAGTCATAGCAAAAAGCCAAGCTGCTATAACAAGAGATCCGACAATATTGTGACTTAGAGAAATGAGTCTCTGTCATTTAACAGTATGAGGTAGGTGTTCCAGACATGACGGTGGCTCTGTTCCATTTAAATATTTACGGACTTGGGTTCCATCCTTTCTGTTGTTCTTCCATTCCCCAGGGCCTTGCCATCTTCTAAATAACCAAGGCTGGGTGCTGTCAGGAGGTGGAAATGTGAGTGTGGAAGAGGTACCCTTGCTGTCTTAAGGCCCTGGTCCAGAAGTGGCCCATATCACTCCAGTTCCCATCCCTAAGCAGGGACATAGTCACATGGCTGTACTCCACTGCCAGCTGCAAGGCAGGCTAGGAACCAAATCCTTTAGGCATTTAGGTGACCAGCTACAATGCTTTGCAATGGAGGAGAGAGAATATGAATTTTGCTGCCAGCTTTCACTCTCTGCTAAATGTATTACCTGTGTAATAAAAAAATAATAAAAAATTTATAAAGAAAGCTGAGTTTTAGATTAGATGTCTTCAGAGGGCATTTTCTTTGGGAATTAAGAACTTAGAAGAGGTATAAAATTTGGATACTGCCTTCTAGGGATTTGTAGTGTGATTGAGAAACCAGACCAATAACAATTCGAAGTAGTATATGCAAAGGGCCAGAAGAGTGTTCAGATAAGTGCACAGGATAAAAAAAGTCAGTTGGTTTCCCAGTGATTTGGTACTTTAACAGAAGAAAAAATAAATTAAAATAATTAAAAGAAAATAAAAAAAAAAGAAAAAAAAAGTCAGTTGGAATCATAGAATAAGGCTTAGGTGAATTGAAAACTTGCAATGCTTCTTCATTTAGCTACCAGGTTATTCGTACTTTCAGAAGTAAAATTATTTGTGTTTTGTGACATTTTAGGGTAGTGTGACCTCTCTTTACACCATAGAACGGAATGGTGTTTTCCTACTGACCTAACAATAATTTAAGACTCTAATTGATCTTCAGTAAGCTGTCATTTATTGTAATTCTTTGTTAAATATATATGATCTTTAACATAAGATATCTTGGAAGAGCTACAATTTAAAGGAAACTCTTGACTTAATAATGTAAAATTATCTTTTAAATACACTTCCCAAAATGTGGTTTTAAGGCTTTTTAATATGGTTATCTCGAGAGGTTATTCTTAGACTTATCTGGAAGGCAAACCAAAAGCAAATTAGATAAAGGGTTTTTTTCCTCCCTTGGATAGAAAGTTTTCTGTCTTTGATAGATTGTTAGTAATCATATAATACATTACCTCCTTCACAATGAAATCAAATTTTGCATATCTTTTGCCTCACATCAGATTTTTCAACTCTGTGGAGTTTAGGCTAGTAAAACTAAAAAGTATTCTGGTTTTATGTAGGAAGCCTCCTGTCAAATGGTGGGTTTTGGTCTCTCTCTCTCTTTTTTTTTTTTTTTTTTTTTGAGACAGAGTCTCATCTCACTCTGTCAACCTGGCTAGAGAGCCGTGGCATCAGCCTAGCTCATAGCAACCTCAAACTCCTGGGCTCAAGCGATCCTCCTGCCTCAGCCTCCTGAGTAGCTGGGACTACAGGCGCACACCACCATACCCGGCTGATTTTTCTATTTTTAATAGAGACAGGGTCTCACTCTTGCTCACGCTGGTCTCAAACTCCTGACCTCAAGCCATCCTCCTGCCTCTGCCTCCCAGAGTGCTAGGATTACAGGCATGAGCCACCGCCCCTAGCCGAGTCTCTTCTTTAATCTAC